AGCAAAAATAACTAGTATATCCTAAAGGTCTACCAATGGAGAAAGGATTAAATAACAGCCATTAGATCTTAAGTGAAAACAGGTGCAGAATAGTATATATGGTACAGTCCTCTTTTTACTTCTCTTTGAATTTTTTATATGCATGTGTCAAGGTGTTTTTTCCTGCAAATGACAAATAATTGACTCAAATCTCAGAACAAGTCTGGAGGTAGAATGTTCTAGAATGGCTTAATTCAGTGGTTCCCAGTACATTTATTCTGCCAGCTCATTGTTTATCCTGGGGCTAGTTCCTTCACAGTCTTGACATAGCTGCAGCAGTTCCACATCAAACCCAGACACAGCAACCACAGAGGGACTATTGGTTCCTGTGTCTCTTTTTATTAGAGCAGGAAACCTTTCCCCAGAAGCCTCCTATGGGACAGTACCCCCACATCATACTTCACTGGCCAAATCCCCAGTGAACACACACAGGCCCATGCCTAAACCAATCACCGGCAAGAGCAATGGTGTCACCACGGCTGAGTCAGACCAACCGTGGGCCCAGCGCCCTGGAAAGTAATTACCCAGGAGAAGGTAGATAAATGAACACTGCTGGGGTACTGTTAGAAATCAGAAAGTGTCTGCTCAATACGCACACCTATAAAATCGATATGAAAGTCAACAGGGAACAGGGACAAGCGTGGGAAGTGGTTATTTCCTTTGCTTACACACCTTAGTACTGTCTCATTTTTAAGATTATGTGTTACATTTAAAATGTGGTTTATTCTTTGTAACTATTAACACTTAAAATTACACATATTGCTAATACACTAATTTATTCACATTGAAAGAAATTCAAATGTAGAAAAAGGTAAAATCCTTCCTGACCACAACCCAATCCCATAGCTCTCCCTGGAGGTAACTCCTGTTATCAGCTGGGTATGTGCCCTTTCAGCTCACATAATGCATCTCTATGTAAATGTGCATGCCATATGTGTGTAGACATAGATGGAATAGATGGAAGATAACCACATATATGTAAAATGACACCATTTTGTTTTGTGGGATTTTTTTTTTTAAATGGTTAACATACCATATGCCATCACAGCGCTTTCTCTTCTCACTCCACAATGTGATTTTAAGATCTTTCCATGTAAGTACACATAGATCTACCTCATTCTTTTTAAGCATTTATATTCATTTCTTGAGATATACCATACTTTATTTACCTGCTGTTTTCCGGATGAACAATGTGGTTGTTTCTATGCTACAATGAATGTTCTTGTACATGCCTCCTTGATTGGACACGTTTCTCTTGGATAAATAAAAATTTGTATCTATTAAAGTTCCAGTTGCTCTACATCCTTGCCAAAACTTGGTATTTCCCATCTTTTTTATTTTAGCCATTCCACTGTGTGAGTGGTGGTTTTAATTTGCATTTCTCTGATAATTACTGAAGTAGAACATCTTTTCATACGTTTATTGGCTTTCTGGATATAATTGTTCATGAAGAATCTGCTCAGTTCTTTTGTACAGTCTTCTTTTGGGTTGCGCATCTTTTCAAATGGCTTTAAAGTTTTAAAAAATATACTCTAGATATGAGATCTTTGTCACATATAGGCAACAAAAAATCTTAAATATCTTCTCACTTTGAGAACTGCCTTTCCATTCTCTTAATCATGTCTTTTAATAAACAAAAGTTCTTTATTTTAATAAAATCAAATGTATCAATTGTTTTCATCATGGCTAAAGTCCTATTTA